TACTGTCTAATTTATTCCTATATATAATAGCATCCTCTGTCATGCTACTATATCTATAAATAAAACATAGGAACTATGAAAGCTAATTATTTGAGACAGAACTTTGAGCTAGTGGAACTATAGCACTTGCCTGGCATGTGTATGACCCAGAGTTCATTCCTGGCAACACACACAACACACACACACACACACACACACACACACACACACACACACAATCTCTGAGCTATTTGTATTTAGTTCTTCAGAACATCTTTGCTTTAAGTCTGAACATGGTTTTTGATCTGTAGTAAAACCAAGCTCATAGCATACAAGTAGTTTATAAAGAGTGTCTAGTCTGAGTCTTTGTAATGCTAATGAGAAATGTAAAAACTATCAGAAAGACAGTCTTTTTTAATTTAGTACAGGGTTTACAGGGTCTCATTACACAGGTCTGACTTAAAGTGATTCTCATGTGTTCAATCTCCCAAGTGCTGGGATTACAGGCATGCACCACCATGCCCAGTCTCATTTGTCCTCTGAGTGCTCCTCAGGGGTGGGGCTGGCATGGCAGACCAGGGATCAAAACTCTGACCCCTGCATCTGCCTAAGCAGGCACTTTAATTCATTTAGCTATTCAGCCATCCCAGAAAGACAATTTTATTAAAACTTTTAATTAGTATATGTTTGCTGCACCTATTGATATATTCCTCCTGGGAGGGGGATACATGTACATAATATATCTTAATTCCATTTTATCCCCTTCCCCCCATCTCTCTCCACCTTTTCCTCCCTCTCTTCTTCCCCTTCCCATTTGTGAAAGATCTGTCTCCCTATTTCCCATTATCAATCTTCAATTTTGTTTTTTATTGATAGTTTGGGTTTTTCATGTGAGACAAGCCATTTGATATTTGAATTTGTGTTTGATTTATTTCATTACGGTCCATATATCAACTGATTAGATACATCTATGCAATGTGATCCAGATTATTTGCTAAATATTTTAGTTCTAATTGAATTCTTGGTAACAGGTTAGAAGCAAAAATTCTGCTAAAAATTGAGAACAATATAACAACAATAATGCAAATTACTAGGTACCCTCCTTTATCGCTAATCAAATCATTGAGGTCTGCCTGATTTTGATTTAACTCTAGTGAGCAACGCAGATGCAGATGTTGAGCATCTGTCACATACCTGGGCTAAGAAGCTGGCTGAGTCAGACCAGAGTCAAGCTTCATCAGCCCCATGTTTAACGCTCAGCGCTTGTGTAACCCACAGTTTCCCAAAGGAAAGAGGCAGAGGCGAAGTACGGCATCTGCGTGCGACACGATTCCTAAAGTACTGTTTGAGTCCATTATAGAGCAAGAGCCATGGTGCGCTCAACATAAAAACTAAACACAGAGTCTCTTGCTGTGTCCACTACAGGGAATACTACATCTGATATTACTTAAACTGGCGAGTGATAAGGCTTACGGAACACACTGAAAAACGACATGTTGGGGATTTTACTCCGGAAAACAAAATACATATTGGCAGAAATTTAGTGGTTGGTAAGGAATACCTTTAGTTCCTTCCATCTGCCACACTGATTTTCTTCACACTTAACCAAAATCATAAAGCAAATCCAGTCCAGAACAGATGAAATATGGAAACAAGTGTGAAGGGAGCAGGTCAAAGGAGCCCAGCGACTTGGAGATTAGCTGCTGGCGTCTCACTTCTGGGATTTGGGGCATCATGAAAAGTTGCCTGTTGCAGTTCATAAGCCAGCCAAAGATTTAATGCATCTCGTCAGCATTCAGAACATTATTGCAAGAGACTGAGCCACGACTGAGCCTCAACGTGAAATATGCCGCCGCTGTGTACGTCCCTCTGTTCCATCTGGAGGACTAAGAGCAGATTTGTGTCCTGAGCCGTTGTACAAATTTGTTTCCCTAAGCTAGCATAATATTTTTTCATATTATAAATTCTAGTGTTTCTGTAAAATAATTGTCTTGAAAGCAAAATATCCTATCTTTAGAGAAAAAAATATCCTACATTGAAAGAAAATTATAAAGGATATATAAGGCATTTTTAAATTTTGGATTTTAAATAGTATCAGAACCTAGATGGGTGTGACTTTTGACCAAATTATGTAATAGTACTTTGCATTTAATTAATTTAGGAATGTATCTCCTTGAAAAAAATATATATATATTTCCATGTATATAGATATATTGAATATATATTCCATGTATATAAATATATTTAATATATATTTTCCATGTATATAGATACATTGAATATATATATATATCTTCCATGTATATAGATACATTGAATATATATTTTCCATATATATAGATACACTGAATATATATTTTCCATGTATATAAACACATTGAATATATGTATACATTTTCCATGTATATAAGTACATTGAATATATATATTTCCCATGTATATAGATACATTGAATATACAGATATATAACGTACCTCTTTGCAAATGCATATATATGGAATTTGTTACTTTTCCCTATGCTGAGACATAATACTTGACATCTGAAGTTAAAAATGAAAGCTTTCCTTTGTCTTACAGCTTGTAGAGGTCTCAGTCCCTCATCAGCTGGTTCCAAGGCAGAGAGGCATGACATAGGTGAGTCACGTAGGAGAAACAGTTCACAGCTCACGGTGGATAAAAGGCAGCAAGGCACCAAAGTAGTAAAGATGCAAAGCAACTAGCTACAAGCAACTATCTTTCTGTCTCTTATATCCTATCCAACTACCTACTGTACTACACCCACTTTCTACCCTTAGCCTCTCATCCTATCCAGAACTTTGCCAGATTGATCAGTGGACTAATTTAGTCACCACACACCCTTAATACCAGCATCACACACACTAGATCCAGTTACCTTTGAAAAGCCCCACCTATGGCTGAGTTAGGCTTTGGGAAACTATCTAGCCACAATCATATATATATATTGAATATATAGATATAGATATAGATTTCCCCATGTCCTGAATTGTCCTTAATTCAGAAAAGGTGAAAAAAAGAAAACCTGAGTGTAATTTCTCTGTCTCTGTCTCTGTCTGTCTGTCTCTGTCTGTCTCTGTCTCTGTCTCTGTCTCTCTCTCTCTGTCTCTCTCTCTGTCTCTCTCTCTGTCTCTCTCTCTCTCTCTCTCTCTCTCTCTCTCTCTCTCTTCAGGGATCAAACTCAGGACCTTGTGCTTGCAAAGGAAGTGCTTATGCTGCTGAGCTATATCCCTGGCTCTATAATTTCTTACTGGTGTTCCTATGAATTTTATTGATGCACAAAATCTTGTTTGTGAGCATCAACTTACAGACTAGCAGCACAGTACTAATGGTAAATGAGTGGGATAGGATTCTGTGTGGTGAAGTACTTTGAACAGAATAAAGTTGGTTAGAAGTAATGAGTTTTTGGAAACATCTTACTCCTCAGCTAAGTCACTCTTTCTAACATTTGTAAAACCTGTGGCAGGTAACACTCTTCATGGTATCAACTTGTCTTCAAACTGCATACCACCTTCAAGACTGGATGCCTATCTGTGAATCACAAATAGATAATATGCTGAGTAGACAGTATTGATTAGGAGAGTGATCCTTTATATTGAAGAAATACATATTACCAATATTTCTTAGACTAATCAGAATATGAGAAATTAATGAATTCAGAAAAACATGTGAAGGTCAATGGAACCTTGAGAACATACAGGTGATATAAGAATGTAGGAACTATAGAATTTCAATCATAAAAATGAAATCCAAAAAATATGGAACTTAACACAATGGAGTTAACATCTTATTAACAGTAGAGATACATATGTGCCAATTCTGGTCAAAATGCTAATACACTCTCGCTTCTATCCTAATGAAATTATCATGAACATATAGATGCAAAGAAAAGAAAGAGAAGCAGGAATAATTCAGTTCATTTTCACTGTCTGATGCAACTCCTCCAAAGAAGGTGAGGAGCATTTGTGCCACAGAAGGAAGACCAAGTCATGCTGGTTGAGCCTGCATGAGGGAGAGGTTCAACCATGGTTGAGCATTCCCTGTCACTGTCCCAATGACCTGGGTCAAGGCAATGTAAGTATGAAGCCATCTACAGTATTTTCATTTCCTCGTGTTCTCATCTCAAGAATTAGCAACACCGTAGAAGTTGGTGAGAAGGTGTAAACACGTTCTTTTATCTCAGATCATGGCCTATCAATGGCATCTTGTGAATTCAGTTTGCTCTCTCTGTCTCACATATGATGGACAGTGCTGTAGTTTATGCAAAGAGGGATGGGAGATGTGGCTCAATGCAATTAACATAATATAGGTGCACTGAGATAGGCAAACTATTTGCAAACTAATATAGGTCAACAGGCAATTATACTCTACCAGAAATATCACTGTAAATCATAAAAGCTCTATATTGAAATGGTGATAAGGGAAAAGGGTCTGGGGTAGCTGCAGAGACCATGTTCATACTCTGAACTTACAACTCTTTTTTTTAATTTAATTTTATTTTGAAAAGTAAAAACACAAGCAAAAACAAACAAAAAAAATGAGAGAAAGAGGGTAACATACAATGCTACATGTTATAGATTTTCAAAACAGGAATAGCTAATCAACAATGATTGTTAATTTATTTTTAACGTCAAATCTGTTGCTCATTAACTGATACAGTTATGCAAGATTGGACAAATAACTGAATATCAATGCTTGCTTTCAAGAAGTCTTGATTTTTTTCCTTTTTTAATTTTGTTTTTAATATAACATACTAATAGATAAGACATTATGAATGGTACAGAATTAGAAGATCAAGATGAAATGTATTCAGACATGGGCTATGGATTACACATTGCTGTTCTTGGTATAGTTGCTCAGGGGCTGGGGAGATGGCTCATTGGAATAAGCACTTCCCTGGCAAGCACAAGGGCCTGAGTTCAATTCCCCAGTTCCGCCCCCCCCTCAAGAAAAGATAAGACCATATCCATACGTATACCTTTGCGAAGAGTTCCATCAGTATTAAAGTGCTTGCTTTGGTAGCACATATACTAAAATTGGAACAATACAGGGCAGATTAGCATGGACCCTGCGCAAGGATGATATAGTTGCTCAGATCGCATATATAAGTATAGAGTTAGTCAAGGTGAAGATTCTAAACATTAACTGCTATTTTTTAAAATCTGATGGGGTTACTAGTACAGTCATTTCAGCCATCCTGTATACATACTTGCATTTACAAAAATAGGAAAAGGAAAGGTAGAAATAACTAAGGTATTGGTTTGGAAATGAAAGCATTAGTGTAAATTCATGTGCAAGTGTTTGTATTTGTGCATATGAATGTGTATGTATAAATTCAAGCATAAAACATAGAAATAGATATATGTATATGTGTGGGAATATTTATTTGTCTCTGTCTCTGTCTCTCTCTCTATCTCTGTCTCTCTCTCTCTCTCTCTCTCTCTCTCTCTCTCTCTCTCTCTCTCTCTCCCTCTATCTCTGTCTCCATCTCCATCGATCTCTGTCTATCTCCAATCCACCCCTGGCTGCCTAGAAGCAGTGACAGCCAGGAGCAATGCTGTCTTCCACTAAAAGGAGTGAGGATCTTCATGATAAGTAGCAGACCCATTGCTGATTTGTTCAATGTGCTACAAATTTTGCAATCATTTATATCAGAAATTAAGGGAATGCTTTTAAGTGACAAGGACCTGTCCAAAGAACCCAAAATTACTTTGACAGTGTTCATTTGGGTAAATGTTGACAATGTAGTCCCAAAATAAATAATGAGTATTAGACTGAAATTCATTGAATAAAATAGAAATCCTTAAAGCACTAAAAATAGAAAAATTAAAAAAACTAGGACAGTTTCTGACAACAAAATGTCACCTAATAATTGTACAAGGTAATGAATGATGTAGATAGTTAATATTTGAAGATGATCAACAGATAATTACATAAGAATCAATAGCTGCTAAGTTATTTAAAAATAATAATATTTAAAAATAAATAGCACACACTTAGCAGGCTATTGGCATAGTGTAAGAGGATTTCGCCACAAAAATACTACTCAAATAAAAAGGTGGAAAAAGTAACTTAAATTTACAGTGAGAAAGGCTGATAGGCACAAACCTAACCAAATAGTTAGGAACAAAATCATTTAAAAGGAGACAAATCCCCTCCACCTGCTTCTTGGTGAGGTATAGCAGAGAAGGGCTCTGCATGCTTGTGGTAGAATTATCACCATGAATACAAGTCCTAAGCTTAGTGGTGAGGAAAGGCAGGGGAGGTTATGTGTAGTTCATGAGAGACAGGGATGCTGGGGAAGCTCCCGAGGGCACCTGATAACAACATGACAAGTGAGTGTAGTCGTTCTTACACAGATGCTGGGCCAGATGGAAAGAAGGGGCATTACTGAGATAGCTGATGAAATCTGAAATATGCCTAAGGCAGTGATGTATTAGCATTGGATTTTTGATAGCAAGAGTAGATGTTAGAAGGACATCATTTGGCAAACATAATGAAGAATTTCTGGATCTGAATTCTGCAGGACTTTATATGCTTTTTTATGTTAGGAAAATTGAATAGCATTTGTTAAGCTTCTCCTTCCTTATCTGAAGAATTCTGATAGCATGATTATTGTGAACATTAAGTGAGGTAATGCCTATAAACTCAGCCTGTTGTGCATACTCTCAGCATATCTGGTTGTCATCATCATTATTCTCTTTCCCTTCACTCCAGACATTTGTCTCACTCTCTCCCCTTATACACGTCTCAAGCCAATGGCACTTTGATTTGTCTCTGTACATGCAGGACGTTACACTAGGCCGGGTGTGTATTGTGGCTTAGCCCTCTTGTTGGAGTGAACCAACTGATCGCCGGTGGATATGCTCCACTGGGAAGGGTGGACGGTTGTGATGCTCATGCGGAACGTGGAAGCAGTACTGTGGTGGACACTGCATGAATTTTTGTCTTAAATCTTGGTCCATTTAGAATCACGGGGGAATTGTGAAAGAACAAGATTTCCTGAATGCTGTCCTCTGCCTAGCTTTCAGCTCTCTGCCAAAAGGTGTCACAGGGGCAGTCTTTCCAGAAACAGTCTGGCATTGTGTCTCTGCTATGGCTGGAAACCATCAGTGGAAAGTAGTCTTTTTAAAAAGTGCCCAGACATAAGTTTTAGTTTAGAGGAAAGGATAGGAAGAATAAATAATAAAGCACAGCATCTGAGGATTTCGGGATCACCTGAGTCTTGTTCCAATGACAAATCGCTTCCCCGGAAAAGCAGCAGCCGGAAACAAAATTTGAGTTTAGTTGGATGCATTTAAATGTTTGAAATGAAGAAAGAGTAAACTAATGGAGTATTAAACTCTACCATCCAACTTCTGTGCTCTGTTCCCAAGATAGTCTAAAATAAAGCAAGCCAGCAAAGCTGTCCCTCACACTTCGGACCACAGGGCGTGTTCCAACTCTCCTGTAGCAGACACTGTCTGTTGCTTGTCATCAGAACAATCTTAATGTAAACAAAACTATAATACACAAATGTTGTGCTATTTGAAGTTGCTGAATGCATCAGATATAACATTAACCATATTTAATATCAGAGCTAATATCAGAACTTCACTACATATAAAATAAAATGGTGTCACAGCAAGGGCATTCTTGGAGTTTGAATTGCCTTTTGTCTTTGTTGGATGTATTTTAATAAAACAAACACGGAGGATTTCCCTATAAGTTTTCAATTTGAAATAAGCCACTTCACCACCCACTGGCCAAATGCAGATTACAGATGCCCACACACTGAATACCGGATAGCATGCTTTCTGTGAGGATGCAAATATGTTAGTTCTGGCTGTTTTTAAATGAGGAAGAGAAATCTAAGAACCAAGAAGATTTAGATGAAGTGGGAAAAAATGTCTCACAGAATTTATAGTTTAGAAGACTTTTTCTAGATTAATTTAACATTGTATATATTTATTATCATACATTCTCTATTTTTTTTCATGTGAGAGGGTGAGTAAAATGGCACATTTATGTTTTTGTGTTGATACCCTACAAGCAGAGAAATCTCTTTTTGATGCGTGACACATGAAGGGAATGGGTAAATTGTCACTTGATATCTGAGTTGCCCTCTTGATAGTTTTTTGGAAACTCCATGAGTCATTTAGTAGAGAGGAATGAACACTTGGCGGGCAGTTATGGGTTCCATACCAGTCCCACTTGGTCACTAACACACCTTGTGGCGCTACCCAGTCCTTGGGGAGTCTCAGTTTACCCCCATAAAGAGAGGGAGTGAGTTTTAGTAGTCTCTCAAGACCCATTGCTGTGTAAAATTTTAACATTCATCCTGTAAAGCCTACGTGTATCACTTATCACTCTTCACTTTCAAGGACGACAGGATAATTTTGGGTTATTTCCTTCTTCCTTTATTGTAATACTCGCCATATCCCTTTGTGATAGCTTAGTGAGGGTCGGTTTAGACAACCTGAGAGGAACAGCCACGCTCTTTCTGCCTGTGTGCTCAGGTGGGTGCAAGTCAACACAATGGAGGAGCGTGTAGCACTTCAAAGTCCGAAGTCTCAGTGACATGGTTTTAAATTCTGACATTATTGCTCTACTGCGGTCACAGTAGACATGTTAAGAAGTTTATAGAAGAGTTGATTTATAGAACACGGGCAGAAACTCAGGAATAAGAGGAACCTAAGGCATCAGGAACCAAGAACAGCAGGAAGTCATCATTGCCTCTCTGCCAGGAAAGGAGAAGGGAGAAAGTGAGCTGCATTATCAGAGGCCCTGGGGAAGTGGCTAAGCACAACCTGTTGCAACCTGTCACACAGCATAGCTAGAACCACCCTAAGGAGAGAGAGGAAAGTCCCACAGGGTTTCTCTTCCACCCGCTGATCGCTGTTGCCTTCTATTGACTGAATGCAACTTGAAATCTAAGGGCAAAAGAACTTAGGTGGTGGAATTTGTAGAATTTAGATAGGGCAAAAACCGTGGAGAATGCAACCCAATGAAGAAAATGGGATATAGTTGTCTCTAGCTGTAAGTCAGGAGGACATTTAGGATTCCCTGAACTGATGCTAATCTCTCTCAAGGCTTATAATCATAATGAAAAAGAGAATATATATACATTTGTGAGTATTTATGAAGGTGGTAGATAACTAAATAGAATGCCAATTTGCTTGTTGAAAGAAAATGGTCAAACAAATGATATAGGGAAGACCACCGTCTGCTGTGGGCCTGACCCTGTCAGCTGTGAGGATACATACATACATGGTGTGCTCAGGGTCATGACTAGAGAACACCCTGTGTGTGGAAAGTGACAGCTGTGAACATGGAGCTGCGCTGTGGTCAGCACGACGTGTGATAGAACGGGTTGCTCCTCCATGCGCTCCGTGGGCTGCTTGCACACTGTGACTTGTCTGAGGAGGACTGCCTGTGTAGAAGTCCCACCTATGGTTCTAAACAGCTTAGGAAAACCCGCTAGACACTTGGATACTTTAACAAAGAAAAAAATGATGCACTGAGCTGGGCATCACTGCCTCATTAAAAAGGATGTCTGCACAAACCAGAGAAAATATACCGAGCTACCAACAGGGGAGCAGCTGCCAGCACAGAGGTACAGAGGAAACTGACAGGAAAAAGATTGAAAGAGAATCAACTGATCTAGAATCTGCGTGCAAACATTTCGAGGCTGCCTGCCCACTCAGGAATGTCTTACATTTGGAGATTTTATTAACTTAAAGATAGAAGTACAACCATAAAAATTTTAAAACCAATTGCAAGAAAATTCTCCATAAAATTGATTCAATTTAAGAGAGGCACAGATTAATACATCTTAAATTTTTATGTATCTGTTACCATAAAAGGAAACAGTGTGCTTTATAAGGTTATTTGGACTTGCTTTCCATACTTTTAATTGATTTCCAGTCTAGCTGGTGGGAGGTGGTGAAGCTTGCAATATCAGCACCTGAGAAGCTGAGGCGGGGGCTCACTGTGTGTTGGAGGCCAGTCTGGAGTCTGGGCTACATAGTGAGATCAGGGGCAGTCTCAATTTCACAGCAAGATGCTATCTCCATAAA